AGGGCTGGAATCTGGAGCTGCTGCTTGCTAGCTTGCTCCTCGTAGCTTGCTCAGCCTTCCTTCCCTCCCTCTTCCTTCCCTCCCTCTCTCCCTCCCTCACTCCCTCCCTTCCTTCCCTTATTTTATTTTATTTTATTTTATTTTATTTTATTTTATTTTATTTGAGACAGAGTTTCTGTGTGTATCCCTGGCTATCCTAGAACTCTCTCTGTAGGCTGACCTTAAACTCACAGAGATCCGCCTGTCTCTTCCTCCTGAGTGCTAGGATTAAAGGCATGTGCCACCACCATCCAGCTTCAATCTGCTTTCTTATACCACCCAGGCCACTAGCCCATAGGTGGCACTATCCACAGTGATCTGGGCCCTCCCACTTCAATCAAGAAAATGTCCCACAGGCCAATCTGGTGGTGGCATTTTCTCAATCGCAGTTCTTCCCAAATAACTTTTGTTGTTGTTGTTGTGGGGGCGGGGGTGGAGGGTTCGAGACAGGGTTTGTCTGTGTCTCTTTGAATCCTGTTCTGGAACTCGCTCTATAGACTCAGATCTGTCAGCGTCTGCCTCTTGAGTGCTAGGATTAAAGGTGTGTGCCACCACTGTCCATTCCAAATAAATTTTGTTTGTGTCAGATTGATATAAAACTAGCCAACACACCTTGAAAGCAGACCACCTGAGGTTTGATTGAGCTGAATCTCAACTTCCACGCTTCCATTTTGGAAGTGATAGATATATAAAGGTATTCTTTGACAATACTAGGGCAGGCCTTCAAGCCCTAGGACTCCAGGCTGCTTCCTTGCTTTGTGAGAGGTTACGTGAAACAGGACACCTTGAAGTTTGAGATGTGTTCCGTTTGACTTGGCCTGGTTCCACCTGTGTTCTTTATGTCCTTAGAACTTATGACTCTTCTGTCTGGGCTGCTGCAACCTTCCCCTGAGGAGCGGACCACTTTAGAGAAGCTGATCTTAGACCCCTGGGTGACACAACCTGTGAACCTTGCTAACTACACCTGGGAAGAGGTGTGTCGGACCAACCAGCCAGGTGAGAAGTCTCAGCCTCCCCTCCTCCCTCCCTTTCCTGTGTCTTTGTTTGGGATGGGAAGGTGACTAGGCCTCCTTCCTGGATGAGGCTTCTTCCACCACACTGTCCTAGATACATAGACCAGAATCTGGGGCTTGACTGTGCAGAGACCCTTAGGTGCCACTTGGGTGTGGCTATGGACCTTAGAGGAAGGATAAGTGCTTTTAGTAACCTTGGCCGGGAGAGATGAGAATATAGTAGTTGAAGAGTCAGCCGGTTGACTAGTCCCAAGAGGGGTCAGGGTACAGATGCTGTCCATGATGCTGAGGGGCTAGATGGGGCGTCATGTCTCTTTAGAAAAAGACTCCCTAGCTCCAAGTCAGAGCTCCTGAGGAACCAGGCTGGAGATTAGTGTGTGCATGTGCACGCACACACACAGTATCTCAGCAGGATCTATACCTCTAGAATATTACCCTGGAGTTTCAGAAGCCACTGCCTACCCTCCCCCAATTCTGTTGTTTCTAAACAAAGTATTTTAGAATATTATTGTTAACATGCAATGTGATTTTTTTTTCACCTTTTAGAAACTGGCCTGTTGTCAGCTGCAAATTTGGAGCTTGGGAGCAGGAGTCCAAGTGAAGTGACTCACACAAAGGATTTCAGTGGACCTCCTGCTCCCAGGGAGGCTCCTGGTGACCAGCACTGCTTGCATTCTGAGGATCCATCTCTGCCAGTCAGCTGAATGAAAGCTCTCTCCTGCTATCTTCTACTTGATTTGGGAAATTGTATGGATTTCAGGGCTTCCTACAAGGAGAAAGGACATTCTGAAGAACTGGGATGAATTCTCCTTCTACAGATTTCTGTGCAAGTGCTAAAACAAGCCTGCAATACTATATATACATATATATTGGTTTTAGGTTTATGAAAGACTTGTAAGTAATTTTTTATAACCTTGAAAAAAAGCATTCTAGTGTTCAGTTACTTTGTATTATTAAAGGACTTTAACTTGTGAGCCTCAGAAAGACATGAGGAGTAGTTCAATTCTGTTTTTGTTGTTCTTTGCTTATAAGATTTTGAGACAGGATCTTACCATGTAACTGTGGCTGGCCTTGAAGTCATAGAGATCTGCGTGGTAGGATTAAAGATGTAACACCATGCCCAGCTCTTTCTGTGTGTGTGTGTGTGTGTGTGTGTGAGAGAGAGAGAGAGAGAGAGAGAGAGAGAGAGGGAGGGAGGGGTCTCGCGCGAGCTACTTTTTTGCCCGCAAGAACGACGCGGGGCACTTAGGATTCTTCTGCAGTAAGGCTTTAATGCGTCTTGAGAGGGAGAGCATCAGCTTCCAAAGTGGAGACCCAGAATGAGGGGAACCCAGCCCTTATAAAGGAAACAGTCCTCGCTTCTGACGTGTCACTCTTGGATTGGTCCGCTGCCCATTATCCCAGATGATGCCTCGGAAGTAGGCAGGGACACAGCAGTAGAGAGTTACCAAGCACATGCGCTGGGATTAAAGGCGTGTGCTACAGCACCTTGAACTCACAAGAGATCTGCCTGTCTCTGCCTCCCAGGCATTGGGACCAAAGGCGTGTACTACCACACCTTGAGGTCACAGAGGTCAATCTCTACCTTTGTCCCTTGAAGCAATGGAGAATGTGGTTGCGGCCCTCCACAGGGAGGGAGGGAGGGAGGGGGAGAGGGAGAGAGAGTATTTCCCACTGACTTGGTATCTGTGATAGATGGTGTAGAGTCCATAGAGCTGGCTAGACAAAAATAACCAGAATATTTCCTTTCTTGAATTTTTTCCAAATTAAAGCTACTTAATTAGTTAAGTTACCCTGGCTAGGACTCTATGGGACATGAGAAGTACTTGTTTTTTTCCATTTCTGTACCCCACTTACCACAGCTAAAAGAGCAATCTATCCTGGTTTACTCTGGGACTTTAGGCCTGTCAGCCATCTGTCAACCCATAATACCCTCCCAGCACTTTCAGACATCCTTTGTCAACTCTACTGCGACTGAGGGTTTCCAGGCCCAATCTCCAGAAGTTGGTGACATTTTAGCTTTTGATTTCAGATGAGCTCTGTTTCTTAGAATGAAACAAATGTTTTTCCTTGTAATCTTTATTACACATAGAGCACAAGATATTGCAGATTTTTTTTCAGACAGTGTAGTAGGACTGAGGAAGCAAAAATGCAGCTTTCTAAGAACCATTTCTATATTAGAAAAAATATAAAGCTTTTGGTTATAGTCTGATGTCTTATGGGTGTTCTTTGCAGGAAAACAAAACCAAATAATACAAAAGCTCTCAAACCTTGGAGACTAAGGTTCTGAGTTGGCAGCAGATAATTTTTCCTCTTGGAATTTCCCTTCCCTCTCCGTGTTGGGATTAAAGGCATGCATGGGATCACACCTGGATTTTTATGTGGGTATTGGGACCTGAACTGCAGTCCTTATGCTTGTGCTGCTGATTTGCTGAGCCATCTCTTCAGTCTCTAAAGACTGGCTTCTTTTGGTGTGTGTGGCCAGGCATTCATGTTGAACACAGAATTTAAAAAAAAAACAAACAAACAACTTATATGGGCATGTGTGCCAGTGTGTGTGTGTGTGTGTGTGTGTGAAGGTAGACAAATTTGCAGAGTGAGTTTGCTCTTTTACACTTTTACATGGGTTTCTAGGGTCAAACTCGGGTCATCAAACTGGTATGGCAAGTATCTTAATTGCTGAGCCATCTTGCTGACCCTAAACATGCATTTTTAAACAATACAATTTACCAAATACCTTTATCTGGGTCTGGATCCAGCTTACCATTTCAGGAAGAATTTGGGGCTGTCCTGAGAAGTTATTGCTGTATTACAGTGTCTACCAAAACTAGTATTCACTTCAAAGGTGAGCCCGGGAGGATGAATTTTGGTTGCTTCAAAAGATTCCACTGTGGATATAGTTAGGTGAGATATTATTAGCTACAGAACAAAACCATAAATCAAGACACTTAGCAGACACATCGATGGGGATAGAGACAGGAAGGTGAAAGCAAAACTGCAAACAGTATTTTTAGGTGTTAACTAATTATATGATTAGCTTTTGGACTGGTGAGAACCAATGGTGGTCTAAGACTATATTTTAAAGGCCTTCATAGTCACAAAACTGTTTAGTTGGACAGGTGGACAGTGAATGAATTTCAAAAAGGCTAAAAGATAATCCATGATAGTTTGGTTCTGGTCTGTGACATTCTAACTCCACAATTACAGTTAGGTTATTTGGCCTTATAGAATCTTTTAAAAAAATTATTTAAAAGTTTTCTTTTTTTTCATTTTACATATCATTCACAGTTCCCCAGTCTTCCCTTCACCCAACCTCCCACCCACCCACTCCATTCCTCAGAAAGGGTGAGGTTTCCCATGGGGAGTCAACGAAGTCTGGCATATTAAGTTGAGGCAGGACCAAGCCCCTCCTCCCTGGATCGAGGCTCTGCAAGGTATCTCTCCAAAGGGAATAGGCTCCAAAAAACCAGTTCATGAGCTAGGGCTTATAGAATTTTTAACGCTTGCTTCGTTTTTGTGTCCCGTCTCCCCCGGCGCGCCTGTAAGTGTGGTTTACGACAGGAAATGATGGCATGAGCTTAGCTTCTCCCGTACTCTGAAGGGCCGTTGAGAAACCCCTGTAGTCTTGCTTGTTCCTGGCAGAGCCCTGTCTGCACAGCTGAGAGAAGCTGCCTCTGCAAGCGGCAAAAGCCCAGGGGATTAAAAACTTGGCCGCGGAACGGAGGAACGCTGGCTCTCAGGACTGCGGCGGACACAGACTGGAGGACGGACATTGTGGGCCAGGAAGGACCGCCCCTTCCGGCCATCCAGTTACGTTCGTCGCTGGGGCTCCATGGCTGCTCTGGGCAGGCAGGTGAGATTGCCATAGGTCCGGGGTTCACCGCTGCTGCGGGCGGAACATGCAGGAGGCCCTGCCGCTGGTTATTTGTGATCACATCCGGCCTCTTTGTGGCAATAGCGCTCCCGGCTGGCGGGTGCATAGACAGCCCGGTACTGAGATGAGCCACTGGCTTCTATGAAATTTCGGCTAATGTGACGGCTGTGGGTTTAGGAGACCTGAACCACCAAGACGGAGAGAGGGGAGGCTGGTCGTGCTAGAGAGGGTTTGGAGACCAGTCTGGCGGGCACCGGGTGCCTAATTTTTTATGTGCTGGTCCCAGACACCGAGAATTGAAAGACTCCTGCCCAAGAATATTTTTCCTTTAATGAAAGGGAGCATCGAAACAGTTATCCTTTGTTGGAATCAGTTTAGGTAGTGCATCTATCTGGTGTCTTGTCTGCGGTTTAGAATTTTCAGCCAAATATTAATGACTAGCAGTCGTCCATAAAGCTCAGAGTATTGGCTGTGCCCGGCTCCTATATCTTCTGTAAGTGCTGTCGTCTATATACTAATTTCCTTCCCTGGAGACCTTTTAGGCCCAGGGGTTTTACAGATTGTTTACAAAAACTGTTAGCTTCTATGGGCCAAGATCCAAAATACTCGGGCTCCATGATCTTGTGGTGGTTATTATCCTGAGGTGGAACTGATTCTGTTTTGGCTCTGTCTTACAGGTTCCCGACTGGCACCGACTAATGACCCTCTCCTGGACCTGTTTGGCCAGGCGGACCCCTCATCTCAGAGACTGTAAAAGGATGAGTCGTTCTTTGTTTTGCAAACTGACTACAGTACCCAGTGGAGAGAACCTTCAAGAGTCCTCCTGTGTTAGACCCAAAACGTATGTGCAGGAACCAGAGTACAGGACACATCTTGTTCAGTGTCTTCATGAGGAACAGAAGCCTTTTGTGGATCCTAAGTCCATGGAACTTGCAAACGTCATCAGTTCCCTCCAGGACATGGGTTTTGATCAAGCTCATATTAATAGCTTGCTCAATGTACAGCCATGTGTCCATCCTCAACAGCTGCTGGACATAATTTCAGAATTTCTACTCTTGGGATTGCACCCAGAACCTTTATTTATGGTTTTGAAGAAAAGTCCACAGTTACTGAAACTGTCTCCAGTGCAGATGAAGAAGCGGTCCAGTTACCTGCGGAAGCTCGGCCTTGGAGAAGGTAGATGAAGCAGCAGACGTTGTAGTGTGAGAGGAGTCAGAGTTAGTGAAAAAATAGCCTGCCTTAGTCCAGCCTTCTGGTACTGTGACATGACAGGTCACATACAAATGTGTTGGGTTGCATTTCTAGCTATCCTGGGATGCATGTGGTCTGTGGACTAAACACACCTTAGTAAGGTGAAGTGAGGCTGGAAGGTTCTCTGAGGAGAGGTGTGATGGGCCCTCTGCAGGAGGTGTTGTAAGAGGGTTGCAGACAGATTAGCCAGGAGGAGAGAACCAAGGCCAGAACAAGGTCTCTAGCTCCAGAACAGTGGGAACATGAAGTCTGTTTTTGGTGACTTAGTTTTGCTATGTGGTAATGGTATGTATATGCATATGGGTGACCTCTGCAAAAACATCCTGTACAAAAATTTAGACCTGGTAGTGCCAGGTTCCTGGAAAGCTGCAGAGTGGCCTCCTGCTAACTGTTGTCATTCCTCTGGAGAAGGGAGATGGAAATCTCCAGTGATGTCTACCCATCTGACCCCTTTTTATTTCTTTTTATTATTGACTGTTCCTGGTAAGACTTTTAACCCCAAGTAGGGGAAGTTTAGAGTCCACTGTTTGGTACCTCTGCAGGCTTCCTTCTCTAGGAGATAAGCAGAAAGATAACTATGTTCCTCTAGACAGATTTTCCTTTAGTGTCCTCTGAGTCTAAGCTCAGTCAGTATTGAAGCACAGCTTGAGAGGTGAAAGCAAAGTGCACACTTTGTCTGGGCGTGGTGGCGTACACCTTAAATCCCAGCACTTGGAAGCTAGAGGCAGGCGGATCTCTGTGAGTTCCAGGACAGCCCCACCTACACAGAGAAATCCTGTCTCAAAAACAAAACAAAGAAACAAAAAACAAAACAAAAAAAAGCTCACCCTTTGGAAAGTCCTCTTCACACGGCAGTCAAGCAGAGACAGTGACCAGCTAGGCTGTTGGGAAAATTAGTTCCAGCTATTAAATTTGCCAGTATTCCTAAGAAAATTGGTCCAACTATTAAAAGAAGACCATTTACTCCGCTTTGTCTGGGACAGCCCCTGTTTATAGCAGTTGTCTGGATACAGTTACTAATGTGGCCCACGAGAGGACACTCAGAGGCCCACGAGAGGACACTCAGAGGCCCACGAGAGGACACTTGGAGGCCCACGAGATGACACTTGGAGGCCAGGTTAGGGTGGGCTGTTGGATCTGAGAGGATACGTTTCCAGGGTGCTTCATAGAAGGCAGAGTCTGAAGTCAGCAATCCTATGAAGGGAGGGGGTCCTTGTCCCCTCCCCCTCTCAGAGTCTGTGTGTGTCTGTATCTGTGAGTGTGTTTGGTGGCACATGTTCCGGGGCTTACGTGGATGCCATAAGACAACTTCGAGAGTCAGTTGTCCTTGAGATTGAACTCAAGGCTTGGTGGCGGGTGCCTTTACCCACTGACCAACACATCTGCCAGCCCCTAGCTATTGTTTAGCCCTTGGCTTTCCAGAATACCTGAAGTTACATGCTTTCCTTTTCTTAATATTCTACAGGGAAACTGAAGAGAGTGCTCCACGGTTGCCCTGAGGTGTTCACCATGCGCCAGCGGGACATTGATGGTATTGTGAAGGTCCTCAAGGAGAGGTGCATGTTCACAGCGCAGCAGATCACTGAGCTTTTGCACAGGTGCCCAGGTGTTCTTCAGGCGGACCCCAGTGAACTAGAGTACAAATTCCAGGTGAGAATACGTGACTAGACTCTTGATTTCAGATTTTTAAGTTGAGTAAGGTCAGCTGTGTGGACAAGAAGCCTCTGAGTAGAGCTCAAAGCTTCTCTTCTAGAACAATACAGCTCAGTTCTTCTCTTCTCCCCCCAAAGCAAACCTGTCCTTCCACTTTACTTCCTTGACAGTGAGGGACCTGGCCCCATTCCAGGTCCAAGTAGGTACTCTGAAATAACTACTATTGAGAAAGCTAAAATGTTCCTACCCTTAGAGTGAGTGGGGTTTGGAAATGTGACAGTTGTCCTAATAGTTTAGTAACAGATGTGACAGAGAAGGTCAAAAGCACCTGTGCAGCTGTGGAAGGCGGCAAAGGCAGGTGGACCTCTGAGTTTAAGGCCAGCCTGGTCTATAAGGTGAGTTCCAGGACAACCAGGGCTATGTAGAGACCCGTCTCAAAACAGACAAACAAATGAAAACCCTGTGCCAGCGTGAGGACCAGATTCTGGGGACCTGTCAGAATTGGGGAGTTGTGGGGTGGAGGCAGGCGAATTCCTGGAGGCTCGTTAACCAGCTAGGCTGGCCTTTGGCCTTCACAAGCATCCTGTAACACACTCAAATAATTGTGCATGCACACAGATTTTAAAACTCCTAAGCATCTTTGGGTTGGATTTTTCTACGCTTAGAATTTTTGTTCCCCTGTTTAAAGAAAAACTTACCCCTACACACCCATTTGTTTTCTGCTGCATTTTTCTCAGCATGAATTTTGAAATGCTTTGAAAACTGTCAGACTTCACACAAGTATTGGTATTAGAGAGTAGCTATTCTACCACTCCTAATTGGGCAATTCTTTTCTAATGTTTTTGCACTAAAGTTTGTTTTGAATTGGGACGATAGGCTTTAAGGTTCTCTACATAGGTTCCTAAACATGTTTGTATCTTCCAGTATGCATATTTTCGGATGGGACTTAAGCATCTGGACATAGTCAAGAATGATTTCTTACAGTATTCAATAACCAAGATCAAACAGAGACACATGTACCTGGAACGCCTTGGACGGTACCAAACCCCTGATAAGAAAGGACAGACACAGATCCCTAACCCTTTACTGAAGGACATTCTCAGGGTTTCTGAAGCTGAGTTTTTGGCCAGGACAGCACGTTCCTCTGCTGAGGAGTTTGAGGTTTTTAAAAAGCTCTTGGATAGAGAAGAAGAAGAATCTGAGAGCCATGCATCAGAGGAAGAGGAGGAGGATGAAGAGGAGGAAGATGAAGAGTAGCTGTGATGGAGGATGGGACAGAAGGGTCCAGAGATGCCGGAGATCATTCCCATATTCTCAAAGCTTTGGGGCAATCACCTGAATCTTCAAGCATTTTTCATACTAACACTGCTCATTTGATAGAAAAAAGAAAAAAAAAAACTGTTATGATCCACTGGAGATGTAGGTACATCAAACCAGATAGGAGATGCTTTGTTGCAGTCTTGTGGCTTCTGTGGAGGCCCATTGCATCCTAAATGAAGGACTCAGCTGTTAAAATCCAGGGGATGCCACCCATCCAAGTTTGGTATCTTTCTCTGTTGAAATACATTGGTGTTAATTCTAAAATCATGTAGAGAAAGAGGTGCTTTGTGGCTCAAGAGCGCTGTGTGTTTCCTTGTAGTAATAACGGTAAAATCATGAGAATGTAACATGAGGGTAGTATGTCATAACACTTTATTTCATGAAAACAAGTAGCAGATTTTCCACAAAATAGTCATGTTTTTAATCCGACATTTCACGGCCCTCTAACGTATTCAGTGTACAGCAGAGTGAAAGGCGTTGGTTAGTAATGTGTTGAGTTTTGCAGTCTTCGGACTAGCAAAACATTCTTCTCATCTGTGAGATGGTGACCCTTCCTGCTTGGGCAAGTTGGCCTTTATGTGGCTAATAGCCACTTCAAGGCCTGGTTCTGGCTCTTTAGCCTGTGCTGCCAGAGTGAACGGGCTCAGAACCAGCACTTCAGGGGCTGGGAGTGGTCTCTGAGGGACTTCCCTTCTGCCTTCTGTGTGATAGATGGGGAAGAACACAGCCCCCAGGTCTGATTTTGGTTTGTTCTAGGGATCTTTCAGATACCCTGGCATGGATATCAGCCTGGGGAGCATGGTGAGTGTCTCAGAGTGCTGTTAAGTACTGGTGCTGGCATGAAGTGAGCTCTGAGGAAAGACCTGGTTTGATGGAGCTAAGGCTCAGAGGATTGAGGCCTCCTAGAAAGTTGTCTGTGGCCCTTCCTCAGGAAATCGCACAGGGTTGATGATGCAGAAAGCTTTTTTGATGATAGAGCCAAAATCAGAAATGCTTGGTAATATATTTTTTCTACTTAGTGACATTTAATAGTCATGTGAAATTCCTCTATGGGCCTTGTGTCTCCTATATAGACAGAACCCAATGCTTAGATGGGGATGCCCTGATTCTCAAGACATCTGACAATCTTTGGAGATTTTTCTGTGTGTCAGGGCTCTGGGATCTTGAGAGTAGAATCCAGGGATGCTGCAAAATACCCTTCCTTGCAGTGCACATGAATGATCAGGTCCACAAAGCAGTGTCCAAGCTGAGAAACTGCTCCAAGACCTGGCACAGTAAAGTACTGTGACTATAACAATTTTGAATGGTAAATGGGCTTGACATATTTACTTCTGTCTAAAGTAGAGATCTTGCTGGATATGAGGTGTATTTTGTGAGGAATCAGCACCAAGGCATGGAGGCTTTGGACTCACCTAAAGCCTGACTGCAAAGAGAAGAGCATTCACAGAGAAAAGCCGTCATCCCAGACTCCCATCCAATTAGAGCTCCCACTATGGCAGGTCTGCGAGGCAGGCCAACCCCTGGCAAGGCCATGTCTTTGCCTATTGGACTCTCCACACAAAGTAAGACACAGCAAGCCGTCCTGTCTACCACCAACAGCCACAGACAAAGCTCTGTGAGAACAGTGATGCTCGTTCTTTGCTGCTCACTCTTCTACTTTGGGGCACTGAAGTGGCCTCCACTTTCCCTGAATGTAGGATATTTGGCCTTGGGCTCCATCAGAGCTAAATAGAATGCTAACCCTGAGCTTAATTAGGTGTCTGCTCATCCCATGTTTTGATTAGCAAACGGTAAGCCCAACAAGTCATGACTGCGTCTTCACTTTGACCCCAAAATAAATCTTTACACCTTGTCAATCTTCTGATTCTATTGTGACATTTCCCAAGTGGACAGTGACTGTTTTGGAAGGAAATACAGCTGCTTCAGAAAGATGTGTGAGAAAGCAGAGGCATGTTTGGAATGTTACACACGACTTCCTCGGCATCAGTGTGCCAGCTTCACACTCAGCATTCAGTAGGCTGGGTCCTGTCTGAACCATAGGCTCCAACTGGAAGTGGGAATGTGGCAGCGTTGGCCTGGCGGGTGAGGCTCCTGAGGTCATTACTGTAAAGGTTTCATCTACGGTTCCAGTGATGTCACTTGGTCTTGCCATTCACTGCTAATGCTGTAGCTGATGTAGCGGGATGGTGGCAGGTCTCACTGTCGCATGGAAGTTGACATAGATGTCTGTGGACCTGGTCTCTGAGCCCTGTCTTTGCCCCCGCCCCCATCCCCAGGTCTCTGGAGAGGAGACGAGCCAGTGTGAGTTTTTGACATGAAAAGGAAAAAAAATTGCATAATGCACAGGCTCAGCAATGTTTAGTGAAAATACACGTTTTTCTTTCAAGTTTGTTTTTATGAACTGAGGACAGGAGGCCTCCGGTTGGTGCTGGATCTCCAGTCCGGCAGGCTTTGTTCTTGAGGGATTTTTTTTTTTTTTCTGACCTCACTATAGGAGAAGACAGCTGCTTAGAGCCTTGTTGAGAGTGGAGTGGAAAGGAGGCTGGGTGAAGTGTATTTGTCTTTGTAGGCCATACCATCTGCTTGAGGCACGGATTACAAGAAGCCTTGGGCACTGTCTCCAGGAGCCTGCCCACCCTGTACCACTCTGTGTTCCCTTCAGATTTGAGCAGAGTAGCTCTTGCTGCTTTATGGTGGATGCATAGCTTAGGCTTCTGAGCAAGGATCTTGGCTCCTTTTCTCCTGTGACGTTCAGGGGTCGTCATGCCTTGATGGCAGTTTGTCCTTCGGAAGATGTCTTTCTGTACAGAAGACCGAGGTCTAGATCTAAACCAGGTACCTGCCAACTATGGCCTACTGCTTGTTTCTGTGGATGAAGAGTTACTGGGATACAACCATGCTGTCTACATCTGTGACTGTGTTGGCAGTACAGTAGCAGAGTTGGGTGGGTGCCAGAGAGGTCACACCATCTGAAAACCCAAAATACTGCTTGAGCCTTTGTCTGCCCTGCCAACTCCTGAGTTGTAGACCGAGTGTCTAAACTCTGTCGTAGTAGTAATTGGCATTTCTTCTTTAGGTTAGTATACATGAGAGGAGCAGGGTAGAGCTCCTCGGTTTCCACGTGGCCCTTTTTGCATCTCTTGTGAAAGCTGAGTCCTTTCTTCTTGAGGTTTTGAGGGTTCAAGAGACACTTCTCTGGTGCTGGAATCTGGGGCGGGTTTCCAAGCATAGAGAAGCACCACTGACTAAGCCTGCTCACCCAGGTAATTTGCACACTTGCTGCTCACAGAGGTATTGACTACAGCTGCAGAAACAGCAGCCTGGGTTAAGATTACAGATGCTTCAGGGCTTCCCTTGCAGGAATCCTTGGATGTGCGGGTCTGGTTGTCCATCTTCTAGAAATCAGAGGACAGAGAACTTAGGGGAGACTGACTGCAGCCAAGAACTTGTCTCGTGTCATTTTTAAGTTAAGTTTTGGACCTTATCTTCCTACGTTTTGAAAATTCTTGAGGTGGGCAGTGTTACCAGTACCTGCTGACCCTTTCAAGCAGGAGCAGCAAACTGAGACTCCTTTATATGCCCACTGTCTTTCTCTAGAGGCAGCAGGCACTGTTCCCCAGGGGACCTGTATTCATTCCTGCATTGCCAGAATTCCTGCTGGCTGTGATGCAGAGGGCTGGAAGTGAGAACACAGGTACCTCTATGAGGACACCTGGGTTCAGCCCATCCTTTAAATTTGAATCAACAGGCTGCTGTCCTCTGCTGCCTTCTGCTGGTGATGGCACTGGGTCATTTTCCCAGGGCAGCATTGAATGGTGTTTTCTGTGAGTGTGTGCGTGCGTGCTTGTGCCCTTCCTGTCTGTTTTCCCTGTTGCTCTGGAAATAAGAGTTCTCTAAGTCAGTATGTGATAAGTAGCTGGGGATTATTAATTTTTATAAAAATGGGTTTTCTGGGTGAGTTCTTAAAAGGTACATTAATATTTCAAGTGATTTATTGCCATATAAATATTTTAAAACCAAATAATTTCTGAACTTCTGTTCATGGGTTTAAGTTGCTCACAAGTGTTGGAGGGTGCTTTGTGTTTGCATTCTTGGAGGCTGAGGTGAAAGGTGATGCTGTTGCGTGGACAGGATTTGAGTGTTGTCAGCAGCTCTTCATACAGGGTTTCCATAGCTGAAACGGTGAGGATGCAAAGGCCCTGCTGCGTGGGCATGTCTGAGAGCCTGCTGTCCTGATGCCCCATCCGTCTTTGCTCACGTCCTATCCCTTACTGTGAGCAGTTTTTCTTAGGATGAGCGTTGCCTGGAGCTCCTTTGTTTGTGGTTGTTCTTAGACCTTGGGTGACATTTCTCCTTGATGTCCTCTACTGTAGAAGAAAAAGCTGACTGCTGATGTGGCTGGTTTCCAGATACGCCTCTCTCCCAACACAGGAAAAGTGAACTGTTCTGGCTCTCCCAAGGGAGAGGAGTAAATTATCTTGGGCCAGCCAATCTGTCGTTCCCAATTGATGTTACGTCAATAGGAAGTCACTGTGGGGCTGAGTTTGGAGCTGAGTTTGGGCTATACAGGGGTTTCCACAGAGTAACCCAGTATTTTCCAGACCGTTGTGGAAAAACATCCAATGCCCTTTAACATCTCACAGTTTATACATGGGAGGTGGGTGGGGCATACTGGAGCAAACAGACAAAGTTTCCTTCATTTCAGGGATATTGGTGCTTAGAATTCCAGGATCCACCTAACCCCCACAGTGAGAGGCTGTGTTTAGGATCACCTGGATGTTACACGACAAGGCTCCCATCCTATTTTACCAGTAGAATGCCATTCATAGGGTTTGGGGGTACTTTCTTAGATCCTTCCCAGCACCTCCAGGGTATCCCTTCTACCACCCAGGTCCACTGCCCTAAAGGGGCCAGGCACTGATCTGCAGAGAGAGAGAGAGAGAGAAAGAGAGAGAGAGAGAGAGAGAGAGAGTTGCCCCTACCCCTTAAAGTCTCATTTCCACCTGAAAGCAGATTGGTATTCAAGGCCAGACCAGGTTGTATCTACAGGGAGGCTCTAGTCAGGGAATTCTGGAGCCTTCCTGGTTGGGTCTGTAAGAGCACAGTGCTGAGTCTGTGCCATCAGTGTCTGGTAAAGGATCTCAGTGCTCAGGGTGCTGGGTGTGATGGTGTCTCCAGTTCTCAACAGATCTTGGTATGAAGGAGTGTGCCTTAAGCTTTCTTCAGTGTTTGACTGTTACTTTGTTTCCTGAAATAATGAAGAAAACCAGTTTAGTGAAAACGAACCTTGTGCACCTTAAACCCCACCTGTTAAGCTTCTCTGTTCCTCATCTATAACCCAGCCAAGCCCACATACAGACTGACGAGCGCCTGCCCTCTCAGTCTGGTGGATGCACATACCAGCTGAAGGCGGCTGTTGGGGATTGAGCAGGAAGTACCCTGGCATTGTGGGAAGAGTGTGGAAGGAAGGAAGCAAGCAGGAGCTGCCCTGGGAGGTAGTGACACACTCAGGTCAGGCAGCACTCCTGGTGACCGCATGCTGCAGCTGCCTCTGCTCAGATTTAGTCATGCAGAGCAAGGATGTGGTGTGCGGCTTCAGGTGGTCATGGAGACCATACCTGAAGGTGGACTCTCATTGTCGGAACATGATGCTCTCGGTAGAACTTTGAGCAAGATCCTAAACAGCGATGCATCTTGTGACTACCTTGAACTGGGGGGAAGCCTGGCTGTGAGTGGATGTAAAAGGATCTTCTAAACTTGCCCTTACACACGTGGGCCTGTCAGTAACATCCTGTGCTTTCCCATCACAGCACCGATTCTCTGTGAAGGACCGGAGTGACCGCCTCCAGGCACAGCTGGGCCTGTCTGTGCCCCCTCATGTGCGGGTGTGGGCATCCATTTCTGAGCAGAGTCCAGCCACACATGAGGTGTTGGGCAAGCAGCCTGGCTTGCTCCAACGCCCTCACCCCCGTTACCCACCCACCCACAGAACTGCATGTGAGGTACCTGCTTGGGGTTTCCTGAGGCTTGTGCTCTCACAACGCTCCTTAAAGCAGACGTCCTGGTGAACTCTGTAGACTTTCTTATACCTGTTGTCACGAGAAAACTGTGAAACCAGACGCCGGGAGAGAGGCGTCTAACTGTTTCATCTAGGCTGCAAGCCTCCATATGGACAGAGGCAGGGCCCACTATTTTCTTAATACAGTGTTACTGGGGGTGTATGTAAAGTCTAGCATACATAAAGAGGTATTCATTTCAGGGTACAGTTTCACAAATGCTGACAAAACCAAGGTGGTGAGAGGAGTCACTGAATTTTCAGTGACAGGACATTGCTGGGGCAGGCCACTTGTCCTGAGGCTGTGGGACAGTCTGGCTCAGTGTGCTAGTTAGTGTTTTTGTTTATTTGCTTGCTTGCTTGTTTTGTTGGTCAGCTTGGCACAAGATAGGGTCATATGGAAAGAGGGAACTTTAATTGAGGAAATGCTTCTATCAGATTAGCCTATAGTCTGACAAGTGTGTGGGAACCTTTTCTTGATTAATGATTGATGTGGGCGGGTCCAGACCGGTGTGGATAGTGTAACCCTTGGGCAGGTGGTCCTGATGGTATAGGGCAGCTTGTCCAGTCAGCCATGGGGAGCGAGTCAGCAAGCAGGACTCTTCGTGCTCTCTGCTTTAGTTCCTGACTCCATGTTCCTGTCGTGGTTATGTTCCTGCCTCAGCTTTCCCGGATAACACCCTGTAAAGACTGAGATAAACACTCTCCTCCCCAAGTTGTTTTTGGTTGTTCTTTGTCACAACAGTAGAAAGCAAATCAGGAAACCCAACTCTTCTGTTCTATGAATGTTTCAAGAACACA